TACAAATCCAGCTAGACCAGAGGATGTATACTGGTACAGATAGGAACTGGAAACACAGGGAATCCAGGACAGATGAACCCCTCAGGGCCAATAATGAGAGTAGCGATACTAGGAAGTGAAGGAGAAGGTGGGGTAGAAAGGGGGAACTGATTACAAGGATCTATATATGACCCCCTCCCTGGGGGAGAGACAGCAGAAAAGTGGGTGAAGGGAGACGTCGGACAGTGTAAGACATGACAAAATAATAATGATTTTTGAATTGTCAAGGGTTCATGAGGGAGGGAAAAAATGAGGAACTAATACCAAGCTGATTCAAGTGGAAAGCAAATGTTCTGAGAATGATGATGGCAACAAATGTACAAATGTGCTTGGCACAATATATGTATGGATGGATTGTGACAGAATTGTACAAGTCCCCAATAAAATGCTTTTTAAAAGAAAAAAACTAAAGAAATAAAAAAAGAAGTGACGATGGCAAGACTTCATCTCACATACTTTGGACATTTTATCAGGAGGGCCTTAGTAATGGGTACCACGCTTGAGAAAGTGGAAGGTCAGAGAAGAGAGACGACCTTCGAGTGCTGGATCGACACGGTGGCTTCCACAGTGGCCTCAAACATAGCAGTAACTGTGAGAACGTCCATCAACATCTTGATAGAGAAAAGATGGAAGTGGTCCAGGACCAGGGAGCCTGTCATTCTGTTGCACATGGGGTCGCCACGTGTCTGAGCTAACTGGATGGGACCTAATGACCTTGAGCTCGAATATGCATATCCATATTTCATTTACGATAATAATATAAATAACAAGGGGGAACCCTACATTCAATTCTTACATTTCCTTCGTGATTTAGGCACTTGGGGTAACTCTTCATCGCCTTAGGATCAGGTTGAAATTCTCAACCGGTATTTAAGGCCCTTCTGCTCCTCGAACTCCTAGCCCCCTTCTCCCTACTCCCCTCTCCTAGCGGCCCCCCAGCTCTGCTCAAGATTCCACGGAAAGCCCCTGCAATGGGCACCTCCATGGAGAAGTCCCCTGCAGGGGACCAGCGCCCTACCTGGGTCGGGACGTCATCACGCCCTTCCCGCAGGGCCAGAGGCCCCGCCCCGTCTCTCGCTCAGAATAACGTCCCCCGGCCCCGCCCTGCGCCACGTGATCCCCGTCTATTTCCAGCTGTAGGGTGGAATGTCGTGGGACCGCTGAGGGACCCCAGGTGAGAGAGCAGGGCCCCACTGAGGTGGGGGCGCCGTCCGGTCCGGCCTGGGAACCTGGGCTGGGCGTCGCCATCACTAGACCCGCCTGGGAGGGAGGACGGCGAGGTTGAGAATTGGTCCCTTCGGGCCGGCGCGCCCAGGGTAGAGCTGGGCCCTGCCTTGCGTGAGATCCGGGGCGCCACCGCTTCCGGTGTGCCCTTCGACGAGCCACCCCACGTCCCAGAATCGCGTTTTCCTTCTCTGGGGCTGCCAACACGACGTGAAATCACAGATAAGTGCTCGGCGAATGAGCGGCCACAATATTCAATCCCCTGTAGGCGAGAGTGTAAACCCGCACAGCTGGGAAGACCTCACGGGTCGGGGTAGCGCAATCCTTCCCTCCAGTCCTGGGCATTCGGACCCGCTGGGTGCTTACACTCCTGGATGCCGTCTTCTGGGGGCGCCTGGGTATGGCTTCACCTTCTGGAAAAGAGGTGGCCTTCAGGAAGTCTCCTCCCTCTGTCTTTTGACCCCTGTAGGTGGACAGACATGTGGAGGTGACCACAGAGTGGCCCGGCCTGGAGGACCCTGCCCTCACTCTCCAAGGTCTCTTCGGGTTTTCCCAGGAGGAGGTGGAAGGAGTTGGCTCCGTGCCAGTGCTGGCACCAGATTGCCAGTGGCCGAGCCCCGAGGCCCAAATGTGGGCTGGCAGCAGGAAGAGGGTCCTCACGGAAGGGGCCCTTGCAGGTATTAGCCCCTCCTGGCTGCGAGTTCTGCTGATGCCAGCCTCAGGACCAAGGGCGCTGACACTGGGGCCTATGGGGTGGTCCCAGAGCTGCCAGTTATGAGACAGCCAGGTTGGGCATCCTGTTCCCAGGCTGCCCATTCTGAGGCCACAACAGGGGCAGGCCTGACCTCCAGGAGTCTGCTTTCTCTGCCTGACCTCTGAACTGCAGCTACCCCAGCAACGGTGATAGCATGTCAATGAGGGTTCTGGGAGAGACCAGCGGGGGTGGAGGAGGCAAGCTGCCCTGGCCCACAGAGGCTGCAGAAGGTGGGTTGAGGTCTCCAGGGTGTGATGAAGGGGCCTGCTGTATGACCAGGTCTGGCTCCTATAGGAACAAGGTCGGGGTGGGGCGGAGTATTGTGTAGGCCTTGCTGCAGGGCCAGCAGGGGCTGGCGGCTTCCTGTGGCTTGGTGAGAGCCCCACGCTGTGGGGGTACCCCTCCCCCACAGGCACTAACTTGGCACCCTCAGGAGGCCCTCCCAGGTCTCTTCGCCCAGGACACTGGGTGAGGGCTCCAGGAAAGTTTTCGGGGGTGGGGGTGGGGACTGGTTCTTGCTTCAGAACTAAGCTTGAATCTTTGCCTGCTGCAGAGGATGGGGTTCAGCCTGCCGGTCCTTCTGGCCCTGGTGAGATCCTGCTGTCCACGGGAAGGAAGGCTGCCAGGCCAGCCCCAGAAGATCCTCCAGGGAGCCCTGCACTGTGGCTGACCGCGTCTGGAGAAGCTTGGGCAGAGTGGCGTGAAGCTGAGCACCTCGGGAGACCAGGCAGCGACAGTGACCCTGTTCCTTCACATAGCCAGGAGGAGCTGGAGGTCAAGGCTCAGCCTGGGCCCTGGAGCAAGTGGGAGCAAGGACTCCCTGCCCCCATGGACACCCACACCAGCTCCCTGGAGGCCTTGGCCAACCTTAGCACCTCCCTGGAGCCTGCAACCAGCCAGGTCCAAGCAGGCCCAGTCGGAGGGCAGAGAAGATCTCCGTGTGCTGTACTGAGGAAGGGCAGTGACGAATGCTCCAGCTCCATCCAGGTCCAGTTGGGGGGATCCAGCCCAGGAGGCAGCCCCAAACGGGTAAGTTTGCATCTCCGAGGTTAAATGGGAGGGGCCAGGCTATATCTCCCAACATCGTGCTTCATGATGGAATGCCATAGAACTAAGCCAGATGGGCTCTTAGTGAACACGATCCCATTTTATTGATGAGTAAACTGAGACACACCAAGGTCAGGATGGGGAAAATACACCACAGTTGCTGAATTCCAATAAGAGCCCTGGGTTCACATTTCCCCTCTGCCCACTTCCTGAGGAACAACCTTGCGATGTCACCTGCCCTCTCATCTGAGTGTCCTCATGTGTGCAAATGGCATCCTGATGCCAGTCCACTGATTGGACGGCACTTAACAACAACACCAATCTAAGAGAGTGAGTCCCTAGGTGGCATGAGTGATTATGTGGTGCCGTGGAAGGCAATTTGCTTCTGGAAGGTCATCCTTTTGAAAATGCAGTGGTCTACAAGGGGTTGCCCAAATCAACATTGCCTTCACAATAACCAACAAGTGGGCCGATAGAAATGGGCTTTCTCTGAGGACTCAGGGAGACGTTGGTATGAAGTGATGTATCTAGCGTAGCATGAGGCACAGAGACAAATTGCTTAATTCATAGTCCATTTCCCTTCGTGTTAACAATAGCTTTGTCAGACAGCCGACAGTGTGCTTCCAACCCAGCAGCGATTGTGAGGGTGGTGCAGGACTGGGCAGCGTCCCTGCTGTAGGCAGGTCACTCTCAGCCAACACCTACCAAGAACAACAGCCGTAGGTGGCCAGACTCGGGGCTCCTTCACACCGGGAGGGAGGGACTCTGTGTCTGGCCATGATCCCTCAAGCTACCACGCTTCTGTTGGTTATTTTTATTCATACTGTCATAATCATTTTATTAATAAATGTAACTAGAATTTTTATACCCCAAAGGCACAAAGTGGTGCTACCTGTTTTATTACACTTATTTACTATGTTCTGTGGACTGTGCACTTTGGGTTCAACCCTCCTATGAAGCCCAGAGAGGTAAGGTCATGCACTCAAAGTCACAGCTGGTCAATGACACGAATCACATGCAAACCCCGGGCATTTCGGCTTGCCCGCTTGTTGCGCTGTCTGTAGGTGAAGCTTCCACATTATTATCACAGGAGAAAGTGGCACTTAGCTTACTTAGTGCATGCAGGGGACTGTACTAAGCACTTGATCAGCTATCTTCCCGGCCACACTAGGCTGATGATACAGTCCCATTTTACTGATGCGAACACTGAGATTCCAGAGAGGTGAGTTTGCATGCTCAAGGTCAAACAGTAAAGAGATAGTGGAACCAGGACAAGGAGCCAATGAGCTGCTTGCCCACTTTCCCTCTTTGGAGTCCCTGTGATGCAAGTGCTGAAGGCCCTTGGCTGCCAACTGGAGGTTCGAGTGCCCCTGCTTGCTAAACAAAATGAAGCAGTCTCTCGCCTTCTCTATTTGAAAAAGTTTTATTGGCATATTACCCACAAGCCATACAACTCAGTAGTTCAGTCCGATCAAGAAGAGTTGTACAATCATCACCACGATCAATTTTAGAACAAGAAGTCTCTTTTAATGCCCTCCTCTACCTTGCCCAATCTGCTGCACAAGACCTCGCTGACGTGTTGAGGAGTAAAGGGGTCACTTTGAGGACTAAGGTGCACTCGGCTGACCCAAGCCGTGGTGTTTTCAGAGGCTTCCTTTGAATGTGAAAATTGGACGTTGCCTAAAGGAAAACCAGAGCAGAGTGGGTGCATTTGAATTTCAGTGCTAGTGAAACATAGTGTGTTCCCTGGTCTGCCAAAGGAACAAATCGACCTGTCTCGGAAGAAATACAGCCAGACTGCCCCCGAGAAGCTAGGATGATGAGACTTCTCTCACGTACTTTGGGCATGTTGTCAGGAGTGCCCAGTCCCTGGAAGATGACATCACGCCTGGTAAAGCGGAGGGGCAATGAAACCGAGGAAGGCCCTTGACAAGATGGATGGACACAGTGGCTGCGACAATGGCTCAATCGTGACAACAACCGTGAGAATGTTGCAGGGCTGGGCCATGTTTCATTGTGTTACTCAGGGTCTCTACGACAGGGAAACTGACTCGAGGGCACCTAACAACAACAACAACAACAACAACACCTCCCTCATCTTGCAAACCCTCTGGAGATAACCACTGTTAACTGCTAGTATCCTTCCAGCCCTTTTAAAATTAGTATAGAGATATAGATTAAGAAATAATATGTGATTATGGAATGCAAACATAGCAGTCCATGGCTAGTGCAAATGGTTTATGCCCTTGGCTGCTAACCAAAAGGTTGGAGCTTTGAGTCCACTCAGGCACCTTGGAAGAGAGGCCTGGTGACCTACTTCCCAGAAGTCAGCTACTGAAAACTTTGGAGCACAGTTCTCCTCTGACACACGGGGTCTCCCTGAATCAGAATCAACGCAGTGGCAATTGGTTTCAGTTTGTTTGGCGACTCCTTGTCTGTCAGCTCTTCCGGCTACAGTGACTTGGGTGTGGCTGTGATGCTGGCCGCTACCCCACCAGTATTTCAAATACCAGCAGGGCCAGTCACGGTGGACAGGTTTCAGCAGAGCTTTCAGACTGATAGGGACTAGGAAGAGAGACTAGTTACATAATCAGTTGTCAGTTTGAGAGGATTAAGAGTGAAGGGGTGGAGTCTAGCCTGTCAACCAGGTGGCATCTTGATGACCTTATTTGGAGGTGCTAAGGAGATAAATAGCTCGCTTGAGGTAGGACACACGCTCACTCCCTGGGAGACATTGCAGCTGACAAGACACATGGAACTACCTAGTGTCCTGAGCCAGAGGAACCCCATGGAGACTCCAGCCAGTGCTGAGATGCTTCCACTTCCACTGGATCCACAAGACTTCCCACCCACAGGCCTGTGATCTTCCTGCATTCTGCGTCATTGCATGTGTTTTATGAGTCTGAAGAGGACTTTATGGATTGGTAATGGACATATGGGCTAATATTGGACTTATGGACTTGATCGGGACTGGGATGGGATGTTTTCTCAATATTCAATTGCTCTTGTGTATATAGCTCTTTCTTATACACATATGTGTCTATGAATTTTTTTCTCTAGTCCACCCATACTACCACCGACCTAGTGATGTATCTAAAAAACAAACTAACCTTGTGGCTTTCTAAGACACTAAACTTTTTTACCCGAGTAAAAAGTCTTATTTTTCTCACTCAGAGTGGCTGGTAGCTTCAAACTACTGACCTTGAAGTTAGCAGCCCAACACGTAACCCACTATGCCACCAGGGCTCCAAAAAGGCCGTGGGTGATTGGAAGTAGAAAAGAATGGAGTCTTCCCACGACCTTTTTGAAGCCCCTTGTATGTCAACCACCATTCGCCAATGAAGCCGTATGCCTCACAACAGCACTCTCGTTCATTCTAGTGGTGGGAGTGGAGCCCCTGGGGCAGAGTACACAGCAGTGGCTGCAAAGGTGGATGGGAGCCTGCTAATGTCGACAGAGACGGCTCAGGATTGGCCAGGGACTCCTTTCAGAGCCGGCTTCATGGCGACGAACAACAGCGTGTGTACGTGTGCATCGACACATTGGCCCCCTCTGTATAAAAACAGGCACAGTTGTTCAGGATCTTGTGTTTTGTTTCTTTGTGAAGTTGTATAGTGTTTGAAGATCTCCCCAAGCAAATATGTGGTGTGCTTCCCTGAGCCCTGCATCGCCTCTGTCTGTAAACTTTTCGTAGTCCTAGAACACTATCAGGACGGAAGGGTGGGCTGTGATGTCTCCCCTCTCATTTCTGACCACTGCTGTGGAGGGACCCCTGATGGTGTAGTGGTTACACTTTGGGCTGCTAACCTCAAGCTTGGCAGTTCGAAACCACCAGATGAAGCTTTCTACTTCTGTAAAGAGTTTTGTCTCAGAAACCCACAGGGGAAGTTCTACCCTGTCCCCGAGGGTCCCTATGAGTTGGCATGGACTTGGTGGCAGTGGGTTTAGTTTTTGATCGTGTAAGGAAGAGCCCATGTCCCAGAGGCTAGCGGACTGGCTTTGCTGCTATCTGAGTGACCTAGGCTGGCGGCTGCAGCCTTCAGGAAGTGGAAGTGCAATTTCCCAATGGGGTATTAAGGGTTCTTAGCTCCCAGTCACTAGGAGTGTAGGCCCATCCTGAGCTCTGATGGAGGCTGTCTTCCCACAGCTGTCCAAATGACCTGTTGCCATGGTGATGGGAGCCAGCTGCAGAAGGACTGAGGCTGTGTTGTGATGGGGGAGGCAGGGCTAGTAACCCAGGGGCCAGTGTGGGTGAGCGTGGACACGGTTCCTGGCTGGCCAGGAGCCCCTCTGAGGGCCCTGGCCCCTTCTCCTGGAAGCATCCTGACTGCTGGCAGAGGCAGAAAGACGGCTTCAAGGTCAAACTCCGCCTCTTATTCCAGGGTGCTCCTAAGGCATCTGTTCACTGACCTTCTATGGCAGGGGTCCTCAAACTATGTCCCGCGGGCCACACGCGGCCCCGCAGAGGACATTTATCCGGCCCGCCGGATGTTTTTGCCACTGCTGCCTGTCCTGCTTAGTAGCCGACTCGTCCAGTGTGCATAGGAATTTGTTCATAGTTTTTTTTTAAACTATAGTCCGGCCCTCCAACGGTCCGAGGGACAGTGAACTGGCCCCGTTTTAAAAGTTTGAGGACCCCCACTCTATGAAATATGAGAATCAACTGGGAGTCTGATGAGAGGCTGGACACGTTGTATCCATTGGCTTGAAAGACAGACTTTTGGGGTGGAGAGGAAGGCAGAATGCCAGCTCTTCTCTGCCCCAGCCCTACAATGGCCAGTGAGGTAGTGAGGCAGTGAGGCTGGAGCTACCCAGTGGGGCAGGGACTGGAGGCTGGGATAGCAGGGGACACGGGGAGGGCCGCTCTCTGTCCTCAGTGGACTCGTCACGGCCAGAGAGGCACACAGCACCTCCTGCCCTTTCCAGACCCAACTGCAAAGGGTCGGTCAGCAGGGGTAGCACGTGGTCTGACAGATGGACAA